CATATCATAAAAAGCGCTTCTGATTCCAACTGTTAAACAACTAACCATTACAATATTCGACAAACGCACACTTGAGACAGCTTCTATAATTTTTCTGAAATCCTCAACTTTGGGAAGTTTGCCATTGTTAATGACACTGTAATCAATTCTGTAATTGGTAGATTTATTTGAATATGCTAATGTGATTGGTTGATATAACCGTTCGATTACAAGTGCCCGATTACGACCAACTTTCCGCTTACAACACTGTAGAATTAAAAAAAAAGAGAAAAAAAAAACAGGGGGGGAGGGGCAGATTATCAATCAATCACATTCGAAGATGGTTACATTAATTATTACTCATTGGGAGAGTTTAGGATGGCTGATTATTATGATCGTCAATTACGTCGTACATGCATGAAGAGTATAAAGAGAAGGCGATCACAAAAATATAATTAAGTCTTGGATCGGTAGTTTTACAGGTGACTCAATCCTACTGCATGACTTGTGGCGGAAGAAGTTTGAAAATATTAACTGACAGTGCTTTGAATGGGAATTTATTATACGTTTTATTACCATACGGCCTGCATTTAAATTTTGTGAGGTCGATAAATATTTTCGAAAAGAAAGTAGGAACTGTTTCTTTGATTTCAAGAACTTGCCTTCCTCTGTGTGTAAGGGAGCCAATTTTGGCTTCCTCTTTCCAGTTTTCAAAGGGTATTTTGTGTGGCATTGATATGTGCCTTCAACTTCCATCTTCTCGTTTATAAACTTTATGCTTTGTATGCTATTGCATTCTGTAGCATCTGAAGTTACGATGGCCTTTAACCTTGGATTATTCTTGATCCATGTCATATTTGGCTTTGAATGAGCAGTGGCATTGCAGCTGAAAATTGCAGTGGCACCAGCTGAATGGCTTTTGTTTTTTGGGTCTTCCAGCTTTTCTGTAATTTTTATTAAAAAGTACAATAGTAATTTCAAGGGTTGGAGGAAATTGATATTATGTTAAGATGGGATTTGTAAAAGCAAGGCAAGCGAAGCAAATGTAAAACTCTCTACTCGCGAAGACTTAGGGGCACAACCTAAGTAGTAATCATAGTTCTTGTTTCCAAGGGACTACTTTAGCGATTAGCGCAAAGAATGAGCCAAACTAATTCGCCCTATTTGACAAAGCATGCCCTTGACCTTTAAAACAATTTTTTGTGGATCATCCAAATGAATGAAGTTAGGTCCTAAGCATAACCTAAACCGAGTCGTCATATTAGCTTATCATGTAAATCTGACCTAAATTCTTTGGAATTAGGAAGGCAACTCCTGATTCTTTTACACCAACGACGTTCTCTGCAATGCACTGATATCTTCCATTCTTCTGTGCTTTTGTTATTTCAAGGCTGCTATTGTTTATGTCGTCTTGAACAGCACGTGCTACATGTGTATGGTTGGATTGTATGTGATGCGACTTATTGTCCTTTATCCAGTGGATTGTTGGCAGTGGGAGACCCTTAGCAGCGCAGTGAAAAGTTGCAGTGGAATTGATCGTGACACTTTGGTTCATTGGAGCCTCTACGAATTCTGGTGCAGAGCCTGAAAGGAAAGTGGGAACTGATATAAACACAGTCAACTCTCTCGTAAGCAGACGCCCTCGGGAAATGGATATGAGTTTCCATTCTTAGAACTGTCCGCCTCCGACAGCCTGCTTTCCCGCGGACAAATAAAGAATTGACAAAACCGATCCCCACTCTTCTGTTTCTCTGTCAAAAGGTATATTTTTCTTGATTTGCAAAGTCAAGATAAATTTTATCGCCTCTGGTCAACTTTTATCCATGGGGTGTCGGCTTACTAGAGAGTGTAAACAAAGAAAAATAAAATTTTCAATTTCAAGCGTCCGTGTCTGTCTGCGAGAAAGTGTTCGCTCACATGGATGTTTAAATACAGAGTATGACTGGAGGTCAACAATGTTCAAAACTAAAGTGAAACCACTAGGTACAACGTTAACCGAGTGGTTCACAGCAAAGTTTTCAACATTTCCGGCGTCGTTTCTTTGGTCAATACGGTTATAAAAAATGGAAAAATCAGTGGTCAATTTGTTTTTTACAACCACATTGAAATTTTTGTGCCCTTGCTTCGGCGCCGATAAGTATGGGCTTATCCGTCTTTCAAAACCCGATTTCTATTTCTGAAGATGTTTCCCCTGGTTTTTCATCCATCTCGACAAGTTCTTCTCCAAAAATTTCCCATGCACAATTTTTCTTAAAATTTGGCAGCTTGTTAGCGTTCATATCTCAGAAATTTGTAACTGTTTTAAAACAATTTTTTCTCCGACTGGTAAGGATTTCCGAGCATTGCTTTACATGTAATTTGCACTCGTGCTTTAACTTTG